AAGTCTCCATCTGGTAGGTAAGCTTCTGATGATCTTTTTCACATGATCAGCAGTAGAGTATCCTTTATCCAGAACCTTTAGTCCAGCTGTAAGTATTTGAAATCTGGAGAACATGGCTTCAACAGATTCAGCTTCTTCCATCTTGAAGGCTTTATACTTCTGAATTAGAGCCAGAGCCTTTGTTTCCTTGACTTGAGAGTTTCCCTCATGAGTCATCTTTAAGGACTCAAACATATCAAATGCAGTTTCTCTATTTGTGATCTTTTCATACTCAGTGTGAGATATTGCATTTAACAATATTGTTCTAGCCTTGTGGTGATTTCTAAATTCCTTCTTTTGGGCTTCTGTCATAGATTTTCTATCTACTTTCTTGCCATTCCCATCAATGGGATGAACATATCCATCTATGACCAAATCCCATAAATCAGCATCATAACCAAGGAAGAAACTTTCAATCCTATCTTTCCAATAATCAAATTTCTCCCCATCAAACATAAGGGGTTTAGTGCTGATTCTGTCCCTTTCTTCATATTTGTTGTTAATGTTAGATATTGAAGTATCAACCATAGTAACAACCAAATATATATCAAAGTTTTTCTCACTGGATCTTTTTTGTCACTGTGAAGTGGTAGCACACACAGAACCGGAGCTCTGATGCCAACTGAAGGTGAGAAAATACTTAGAAGGGGGGTTGAATAAGTATGAAGATAAAAACTTAGAAGTAAAAACTCAAGTATTTTTATCCTGGTTCGTTGAACTCAACTACTCCAGTCCACCCTTTCTAGAGTGATTTGCCTTTCTCAAACAAGGACTTAATCCACTATTTAATCAACTGATTACAATAGTAAGCACTAAGAAAAACTGTTCAAAGTCTTCTCAAGAACTACTGATCCTAACTGGATCTTCTTAAGGTTTTCTTACAATCAAATATAATAATAAATACAAGTGTTAAGATGCTTCTAATAAAGCTTTATCACAACTGTGATTTTTCACTTAAGATTAAGAACAAAGAAATAATTCTAGTAAGAGTTTGTGAGTTGTATGAGAGCTTTGATAATGAATTCTTTTTCAAGTGTTTCGTCAACTAAAGAAGATGAGTGGAGACTTACTTTTATAGGCACAGTGATCCAAGAGTTTTTCACGTTGATAAGAGTGTACCAAAAGGTCTGAGCCTTTTTGTCTTCACATCAAGTGACCTTTCCTAGAAGAAGAAAGCACAGAGAAATCCTTTTTGTCTGTGTTCTTGTGTCTAGCATAAATAAGGAAAGAGTCGTTTGGATATTCCAACGGACATAATCTTTGAATTCTTCTTCAACAATTTTCAGCAAGAATCATCAGAGTCTAATTTGATCAGAGCCTTCTGATGTTGATCAGAGTTTTGCTGAATCAGAGTCTTTGCAGCAAGTGTGCTTTTAGCGTGTATAAGTTCAGAGCAGAGTTTTGGGTCAGATCCTCAGTATTGGCAGCGTTAGTACTATCAGAGTCTTCTGAAGTAACTATGCTTGAAAACTCTTCATACAGAATTCTTCATTGGTTCAGATGCTTCTGACTTGCTTCAGATTCTTCTGGAGCTTCTGCTTCAGATCCTTTTGGAGCTTCTGCTTCAGATCCTTCTGGAGGCAACGCTCAGAATCTTCTGATGGCAGCGTTCAGAATCTTCTAAGGAATGCTTCTGACGCTTCAGAGCCTTGCATATTTCTTATGTTCAGATCTGATTTGCTTCTGGAGTGATATTTACTTTAATATCTGCAGCAAACATTCTTAAGCAAATTTTAGAGTATATAATTCTTAATTACAAAATTTCATAATAGTTATCATCAAAACATAGAGATATTATTAAGAACCAATTTGTGTTCTAACAATGTCTTGCCTAAGTGTCGTTGCATAATGGAGATTGTGCAGTCAGGCATTGACACGTGTATCTTCCCTGATGGGTCTGATGTCAAGCTGGTCCAAGATGCCATCATGACGGAGGTACATGAGACATTGTTGTATCAAAGACATCGCCGAAGGACATGAGAGATTGATGGTCGAGGAGGTAGACAAGGCAAAGGAGGTAGAAAAGAGTTTGTCAGACACACACAGTAATCTCTTATTATATAACTGTAGTATTATGGTTTGCACTTTATTTATCTCGATTGTACAACATTTTTTATATTTATTGGTATTTTATTTTTATATGGCATTTTTGGTCTATAGGAAATTATGTACGTCTATTTTTTATTTTCGATTGTACGATATACTTCATCTGAACAGAGATAAACAATATATAACATGAAATACATGTTCATCTAAATGTTTAAAATAGACGTAAATCATGCAAATATTTTAGGAGATATATTCTGAACAAACGCTGTTCAATTTTTTTATTTTTAAAGTTCTGTGTAAGTAAGCAATAATTTAACAATGATAAAATAAATAAAAATTTTATTTAACTATAATTTAACTATTAAAATATTTATAAAATTTTATTTAGTCATAATTTAATCATGATAAATTTTGAATTTTGTGTGATAGTCTACCTTATATGCTCTTAAAAGTAACTTCGGGCGTGAAATGTTTTTTTACATGCCCTCTTCAATCACCCAAATTTAGTGGAAAAAAATATTCGTACACGTAGTAAAGATACGGTAAATAAGATCTCTTTGACAAATTTCACTCTTGAAATAATCATTTTCAACACTCGTAATTGATTGCATAACAACATTCACTGACTCCATTGAAAGGGACCAATTTCATTAGAAGCATTTCAAATAAATCTCCAACTAAGTATATCATATAGTTTAGTTAGATCCACCTTAATCGCAAAGCATCCCTTCTTGTCTTGCATCTTATTCATGTTATGAACCATCTCTTGAGCCACTATTATGTTTTTATCAATCTTTCCAAGACAAACAAATCAGTTTGAAAAAGTGACATAGTATGAATGATTTCCTTTAAGGGTCTGTTTGGTTCAAATGAGGGGGAGGGGAGGGGAAAGATTTTAATGAAGGGGAGGGGAGGGGAGGGGAGGTGAAGGAATTTTTTAATCAAATAAGTGTTTGGTTCAAAAGAGAGGAGGGGAGGGGAGGGGAGAGATTTTAATTAAAAATGTGTTTGGTTCAGAAGGGGAGGGGAGAGGTTTTATTAATAATTTACAGTTTTATCCTTATGATCTTATATAAGTCATACGATATTAAAATGTGAAAAATTCGTGCGTATTTTTGTTGATAATAAAATTTCTAATATTGAGTGATTAAAAAAATACTTATTTGTCACATAAAGTTAAAAAATTGAGTATAATTGATTCGACTTATAACTTTCCAACATAAATTAAACTATATGCCAATAACATCGTTTAAATTATGATCAATCATATAACAAAACAAATATATAAAATAACTTATTACTAAATATTAATGGTTCAAAATATTTAATAAAATGAATAAACAAAAATAAATAAAATGATATGGTTTACAATTTGATATAAAAGAAAATATGATAGAGTACATAACAAAATTAAAAGAAAAAAACCAATATAACGAAACATAATATTTTTATAAAAAAAAGACAATGATTATGATTTATATTAATTATAAAAATTATAAAATAATTTGAAGGTGGAGAACAATTATAATAATTTGATGAAAACAATCGAGAAAAAACAGTAACACAAAAGATAACAAATAGTTTTGAAATAATAAAATTAAACTGAGGATATTTTAGTAAATATAATAAATTTTAAATATTAAAACTCATATTCCCTCCCCTCCCCTCCAAATCTCCCCAATTCGGAGGGAACCAAAAAATGTGTTTTGGAGGGATTTTGCTCCCCTCCCCTCCCCTCCCATCCCCTCCTAAAATTTGAACCAAACATATTTAATTAAAAATTTCCCCTCCCCTCCCCTCCATCTACCCCGAACCAAACACACCCTAAATCTCTTAACCAACACTTTACTAACGATCTTTGTAAATGAGGCAAATATATGTTGTGCTAACTGGGATTTATGAGGAATCAACTTGCCACCCTCTCAATTAAACTTGGCATTCTATATAGTGGATGCTATTACTGTTATGTCCTTACTATAAAAAATTGGTTTTTTATAGCATTTATGGAATTTTCTAGTAAAAAAATCAATGATTTCTAGTAAAAAAAGTTGAAGAAATATTGGAATTTTAAAAAAAAAATTGATTTTTTTTTTACATTATCAAAAATTTCGATAAACTAAAGCATTTTTCAAATTTTCTAATTAGCGTAAAAAAATATTCTTATTGAATATGAATTACCGTTTAAAAATAAAGCAGATACCGGATTTTTTGAATAAATAATAATTTTGTTTGAAATAATCAGAAAAAAAAATTTGATATCAAAAGTTTAAAAACAAACTACCAAAGAAATTGATCTATTACCAAAAATTTAGAATGAACTACCAAAAATAAACTACTTTATTTCCTCTCCACTTTACAAACATATCAAATAATCTATGTTATTTATAATTACAACCAAACATTTGTATGTATATTGCAATTAATAACTGGTTGACAATGTAAATTTGTAGCTACCAATTAAATTATTAAATCTATTTCAAATATGTTCTTTATCTTTGTAGTATATTTATATTTATTATCACAACATCTCTCTCTTATTCATTCATTAGGTGAATATTAGAATGTAGTTAATAAAATGCTTATTTTTGTTATGTTGGGTTTCTGAGCTAGTAGATAGAGTGCTTCGGTTCAAATTAAAATCAGATTAAGAATTTATAAAATAATTAAAAAGATATTAAAAACAAAAAATAAAAACAGATGAAACTCTAATATGCACAAATCTTATCTCGTCTACCTTTTTTGAATCCAAAAAGAATCCTATATTTTTCAAGTTGAGCTCTATTTTACAAAATCGTTGCAGTTTGACAATCCAAAAGAACAAAACAGTTTGCTTATGTTTTTGTGAATCATGTTTCAAGAGCAACATGGTTTGATAATTCATTCTAAACCGAATCCAACCATGCCCAGTCCTATCACTGTTGATTTTGCTGTCTCTGTTGAGAGAAATTAGGATGATTCTGTTGTGCGTTCTGAAGTGTCATCATACCAGATTGTAGATTCTGAGCATTTGATGCCATGCCACCAAATGCACCTTGTGAATTGTGTTGCTGCTGCTGCTGTTGCTGCTGTTGTAAGGACATCATGCCACCAGGGTTGCCACCTCCAATGTTGAACACTACAATGAAAATTCACAGTGATGATTTCAGTAATAAGACAAGTAAAACATATGATAAATAACATTGAGGAATGAAGTTCATACTTTGATCACTCAACATTTGGGAAGGATGACTTCGTTGAGGATTGTTTCCGGATAATCCAAACTGAGGAAATAAAAAATGCAGAACAAGTTTCAATAAGCAAACCGACACAACTATTCATTCTAAATATATTTTTCATGAAAAACAAAATAATGCTTGAAATGGCAGAGAACATGAAAAACAAACCTGCATCCGTGGCAGATGAGACTGTGAAGATATACCGGCTGAAATGTTGGGAATCTGAGATTATGAAGCAAAAATCATCATAGAAGTAATTGTTGAAGGTAAGCAAATTAACAGTGTCGGAAGCACAGAGAAACACGAGAACAGCACATCATCAAAGATATAAAAAAAGTAGTAATATTTTGAAACAGGGTGACGAGTATAGAAAGGCAAAAAATAACATCCCAAAATACATAAATCAAATCCAAAAACACGTAATGATATTTGATCTCAAAAGTACTGCAACGAGGTTTCAGAAAGCTCAATTTGCATTTAAATAAATAATTTTCCACCCAGCAAGCACCAACAGTATGGCTAGATAGATAGTGTATGATTTTGTCTGGTCAGCCACTAATTATGCATCAATTAAGTTAAATTTAATTCCATTTTCAATAATAACACCATCACAGCCCATTTTCCTCACCCAAGAAGATATTAAAGCCCTTTTCCTGCGGAACGCTCCAGCAATATGAAAAAGAACATGCTCCCCATAACATTTGCAATAGGGGAGCCAATATGATTAGCTGTTTTCCATCCTTTTAACACAAACTCTAAACTTGTAAAAAAATAACGAAAAAATGGTTGATTATGCGTTAGAGAGCAGAAGCTTTTGAAAACCATATCTAGTCTATAATTACACGCCTCACACAGGACTGATAGTCTGATACACGGATATAATATGACTTTCCCCTGTCCGAAAAGAGTGATTAGCAAGAAACACAAATACTAACACAGATACAGAAGGAGAAATTAGGTACTAGTGAATGTTACTGCTAAAATGCTAGGCAACTCTGCTAAAATAGATGACATGCCAATCATACCATCTGGGTATTTGGTGTTGTTTGAGCAGCACTAAATAATGCACTGTTAGCATGACCAGAAAACTGGCTTAAACGAGTCATCTGATTTCCTTGATTGAGTTGGTTTTGACCAAGGCCATGCTGCATATGCGCCGAAGAAAGCTGCTGCCTACTCTGAAATTGCTGATGCCCAAGTTGTGGAGAAAATTGCATCTGATGTTGCCCTTGCATCTGTGGAGGAAAGAAAAGCTTGTTACTGCCAAGAAAGAAAGAGTTTCTAGTCCGCTGCTAATGTCTATGCATGTATTTATGGTGGTTAAACCTCCCAACGGTATATCCTCAAGTTATTACTTGTTATTTTCTTTTGATCACTCATAATTTACTGAAACAACACGGACATGTCTAAGTGCATCAGGAGACACAATAATTTAGAAATAATAAGAGGAAACTTAGAAAGAAAGTTTAATTTAGTGAAACACTAATTCCTGGTTAATCGAGGCCAACCAGCCAGTCAGGCTTTCAAAAGTAACTTTTATGTTTGAATAGAATACAAGTTAATGATAAAAACCAGCGCAGATACATGCTCCAGAGAGTGTCGCTTGTCCACAAAATGATTATCACACTTGTGGAAGTTAGAAAACATATATTTAACAATATACTTTGGACCTGTTTGTTTAAGATTCTTAACAAACCATTTTTGATGTTCTAGTTATGTTAGTGTGTAAGCTATTTTCAAAAATAATTTTGATGTTAAAAATGAAATAGCTATTATGGTTAGCTTTTTGTTAAGAAGTGTGGTTGGGCCTAACTCAACCCTACAAAACCGGTTGGTAGAGTGAGGATTGCCCCCACTTATAAACACATGTTCATGCCATATATTGTCCGATGTGGGACTCTTAACACACCCCCTCACACTCAGGACTTGACAACTGAAGCGTGGAAATAAATGGTGGGTGGCCCGATAGCGGAAACCATAGAAGGTGGCCCACCGGATCTTAAACGAGGCTCTTGATACCATGTTAAGAAATGTGGTTGGGCCTAACTCAACCCTACAAAACCGGCTAGTAGAGTGAGGATTGCCCCCACTTATAAACACATGTTCATGCCATATATTGTCCGATGCGGGAGTCTTAACACTTTTGAATAAAAACTTTTTTATTAGATGGAAAAAAACATAATTAATGATGTCTATG